AATGTGACCAAAACCTTCACATTCATGACACTAACTACCTTTTCCTTGATTGGGCTTATCCTCTGTTCTTGCATTTCTCTAAAAATCATTGTTCTTCATGATGTCGAATGACATGTTATTGACATCTAGTCTTGACTTCATATCCATACTCTTCAGCACCTTATTGAATTGCCTCCCAAGAAGCACAATATCATTAGAAATTCCTTCATTAGTCTTCATGTCACATTGAACCTCTTCATCATTAGTGTTGGAGATAAAAAGTTATGCTTTTGTTCTTCTTTTCAGATCTTTCATTGATAGTCAATTCCAAAGTTTGAAGTGACCCAACAAGCTCCTCCACTTTCATGTTGTTGATGTCCTGGGCTTCTTCAATCACTGTGACCTTCATGCCAAACTTCTTAGGCAACGACCTAAGAATCTTTCTAACCAGCTTCTCCTTTGACATCTTCTCTCCCATGGCACTAGATGTATTGGCAATATCAATAATATTCATGTGAAAATTATGAATGGACTTATTATCTTTCATTCTGAGATTCTCAAATTTGGTGGTGAGAAGTTGAAGTCTTGACATCTTTACTTATGATGTGCCTTCATGAGTGATTCTAAGGATTTCCCATGCATCTTTGGCCACGTACATGTACTTATCATCTTGAAAATATTTTTATCAACTCCATTGAATAAGGCATTCAAGGCTTTGGAGTTTTCAAGAGCAATATCATCTTCTTCCTTAGACCAGTCCTCTTATGGCTTCAATTCAGTAGTGTCATTCCCATCTTTGCCCTTCACAACAGGGTGTTCCCAACCTTTGATAACTGCTTTCCAGGTTTTAATATCCAAAAACTTTAGAAAAGTCACCATACGCGCCTTCCAATGATCATAGTTGGTGTCATCTAAAATAGGCGGTCTACTGACAAATCCTAGTTCCATGTCTCTAGTACTAGAAAGTATCTCTCTGGAGCTCACACAAAACAAAACACGGTGCCTGCTATGATGCCAATTGAGACTCTGGCACGTAGCGGACAGATGTCGGATATGATATCAGGACTTTGTAACAGTAGAATTAACACAAGAATAATTTAAAGAAAAATTGCAGGTATTTAAATAACACACAGTTCAGTGCAACGTCACCTACATCTAGGGGCTACCAAGCCAGGAAGGAAATTCACTATGCAAATATTAGTTCAAAGCTAAACTCTCCCATTTACAACTTATCACCTAATCACTACCCTTGTGCAACTTCTACCTAGACACCCTCTAGATATTATATCTCCCTCTCACTTCCTAATCAGTCACAAACCAGTGATAATTAAACAATAACCCAAAATAGAAGTAAACACACTTCCAAGAAAAATACTTAGTTTTTCTTAAAATCTTTAAACTAAGGACAATACACTCTTTCTTAAAAGCTTATGAGTGAAAAATTGACAATTAACATAATCCTACTCAGATGTCAAAAGACACAAGAGAGGAACACAAAGAAAAACACAAAAAACCTAGAAAAATTCTCACATAAAAATACGAGACACACACACACATACACACTTTCTAGGTTAAACTCTTTTCTTATAAATAGGATTTGAGAAGCATTGGCTTAGGCTTAAAAACCGCAACAGGTCCAAAACAGCAGCTGCAAATATTCTGCAGAATCTTCTGCACAAAAGTAGAAATAAAATAGAAAGTTTCTTAAAAAGGCTCCAAGATCCTTTTTATAAAAAACAATCAAATTTTTCACAACAGACATTCCCAAAATATCCTCCCTTGGATAACAATAATGTGTGAATTAAAACACACTCAAAACTCACACTTAAAATACCAAAATAGTTTTGCCCTAATTTTCTTGTATAACATGTCCTAACACATGTCACAACATCATGTTGAACATGATGTCTAACTGTCATAGTAGAACATCTGACTTAATATCTTGCTGGCAGCATGTTTTACCAAAATTTTGCCAATCCAAAAATCACAGAACATACAATGTTAGATCGACGCACTCAGCAGACTCAGAGTCGTCTACAACATCAGACTTTAGTGTAATGGCTTGGGTTTCTAATTGACAAGTAATCTTGGGAGGACCTTGATAATGTTTGTGCTTCTTTTCCTATTTTTACCTGGAGGACAAGGTGAGTTTTGCAGTGGAGGGAAATCATAGAAGATAGTTTCTTATAGCACCATATGTATTTCTACTGCACCATGTGAAATTCCACATATACCTCTGGTTCCATAGATATATCTCCGGACATACACAAAATTCACTGAATGTTAAAATATTTCGGAGATATATCTCCAGACCATTTTGAAGTATAAGTCGTGCCAGACTCTCCTGCTTCCTCATTTCACACTTTTCTTCAATACACTCTTCTCCTTCTCAATACACCTCAACTTCACCAAATTAATTTTTATCAAGAAAGGATCAAAGAAACTCAAAGAACATCAAGCATCATCTATAACATCCTTCTTTGGTCTGTACGACATGATTTAATCGGAGAATGATCCTCAATATCATTTCTCTAACTTGTTTTTAGCACGGATATCAATTTACGCAACCTCTTATAGTTTGACTTTCATCATAAGTCAAGCTACGATGGTTTAGCGTTACATTTCGTCCCGATTCTATTTAATAACAAACTAACCACTAGCTTTACTTTCCGTCAATATACAACTGCTTTATTTTCAGTCAATATTATTCTGATTATATTATCTTGTCCATATACTTGTTAATATTTATCTTGATATATTATTGTGAATATTATCTTGTTTATATTGTTATATATCCTGTATATTATTCATATCTTGTTCATATTCATTTTATTCATCTTATTCACATTCTTTCAAAACACATAATAAATATCGAAACCATAAAATCCTAAATTGGTGGACTGTTGATTGTTTGTCCGAGTGACGGATCTTTGGACGTTATCAGAAACCCTAGCTTGGAGTTGTGTTCAACTTTTGCTCAAGGCGTAGTTTAAGACACATTTCACACACAACTTCCTCTTGGGCTACCTGACAATGAGACCTTTTATTTCGTACAATCTCGTGTAACTTGCATGTCTCCCTCTCCCATTTTCGATGTACGCTTTCGTATTTCTTTGACTGTGGTTTATCTTCTAGGAGCACCCCTAGGGACTAGCGTAGATTAAACCATTTTGAAACTAATTCTCGATTCGTCATCGAGCCATTTTCAAACACCCCTTTGTAAGTCGAGTGCTCGTCCGCATTCGGCATCAACCTGCCGCACACACTGTCACACTTCATTGTGGACTCGATGTTAGGAGCACCCCCAGGGACTAGTATCGTTTCTCACACCTTAACTCTTGATTCGTCATCAAGTTGGTTCCATTTTCAATCAAAACCCTCGACTCATCGTCGAGCCATTTTCAAACCCACTTCCGTTCCACCATGTTTTTGCACGCAAGTATAAGTCAAACCCTTGATCCAATGTCAAGCGGATTTTCTCAACAAACTGTTAAACCAATTCACCACCTTTTCTCTTTTCTAAAATTTTTTCCATTTCTTTTTGTCTCTTTGAACCTAAAAACCTTGGTCTTGTACCAAGTGCATTTTCAAAACTCTTTTCCTAATAAAACTTGGATGGTTGTGAAGTGGTTAGGCGAAGGCCTTCTCCTATCCCGAGTGCTTGACATTACATTTAGGGTTCACTGTCGTAAAGCACTTACCATTCAAGATCAAAACATCTTTAATAAGAGAATGAAGTTCTCTTTGTATTGAACTAAAGAGAAATGATGAAGTGCAGACCTCTTCCTCTCCGAGTATTAGGATACTCACTGTAGAGTGTTTGGTCTCGATACTCGTCTTTCAATACGAAGACGTGACTGTATTCGCCACACCATTTTCACAATAAATCTTTGAGATAAAGAATCGGGTACTACCCGCAAGGGGTTACTATCCGATGACCTATTTCACCCTTAAAAATAACTTCCACAAATCAAATGTGACATCTTGCCTCGATGGCAAAAACTATTTCTTTTCAAAAAGAATATGTTACGTCCTTTCTACCGCAAACAGGTAACGCCTAAGACTCCACAAGCGACCTGCAATACACCTGACTGCTAGAATGAACACGTTAGCATCGTCCACAAAAACACCAGTTAACCGTAGGCCGAACTACGACTGCTCTGATTCTTCACTTCTTTTAAGCAAAGATACGTAGGCACAAGGACCCCAATCCTTGCCGAGAATTTTCCCGTCTTTTACCCGTAATTCTCTGAACTACGTTGACTCTAACTTTCTCATACCTGTTGAGAATACATAGGCATAGGACCGCAAAGTCCTACCGAGTCTCTCCTCCCTCTTTCACCTTCTCTTTTCCCTGCTTCCAAGCTTTCTCTTTCCCCTTAGAACACTCTTATATAGCAGTATCTTTTAGCAAATACCTTCACGCGTAGACAAACAAATGGTTCCCATCGAGTACGATGGATGCGAGGGATGCTAATACCTTCCATTCGCATAGCCGGCTTCAGAACCCGTTCTCTTGGTTGCGAGACCATCTTATCCATTTTTTTTGGGTTTTCTCGATGTTTTCCTTTTCTCTTATGGGTAAATTTCAATGGCAACTCTTCTGTCTTTCCGTTTTCACCTCTCCGTCGTTGCATTTTCGAATAGTGACAATATTAACTAGAGTTCAATCAAATATCTCACAGAGGAGTTATCAAAATTGCTATTGTCAAGACATTACAAAATTAATTATTTAATTCAAGTGCTACTGTTCAATTTCATAAATGAGAAAAACTTAGACAACCCTTTTAACTTTCACTTTTAAGGTTGTGATTATTAATTAGTTTGATTTGGGCCACGTGTTACTGATGTCTATTGGGCTAGATAAACATGTTCATTAGCGCATCAATATATAAGAACATTTGTATCTTCTTCTCATTATTCTCTTTTTGTAAACCATAACGTAATTTTTTTAAAAACTGAAAAGTCGATAATAAAACTCCAAAGTCTCCGACCAAACAAACCAACATCAAAGAGAATAATCAGCTGGTGCGTCGACACAGGGTAATTCCATCACCTACAGGAAGTTGACAAATCTCAATCCTTGAATCTTGAGCTAAATACTTATTGAGCTCAATCACATGACCACGTAAACGCTTAATATAATCCATCATAGGTGCATCAGGTGGAGCCACCACTGATCCACTCCATAAGGTGTTGTCGTACCCGATTAATCCCCCGATTTTCACAAGATCAAGTACTCTCTTGTGATAGTTTAAGTAATTATCTTTATCAGCATCCACAAAAACAAAATCAAATATCCCCTTGTTATTTTCCTGCAAAATTAATTAACAGACACCAATTTAATTAATTATAATTTTTTTCTAAGTACTGTAAAGCGTGTAAGGATGATGAAATCACTAGAGTTGGTGAGAAAATTATGCAAACGCACGTTTTGAAGAAGTTCATCAAGAAGAGGGAGTGCATGTCCTTCTCTAAAGTCAATCTTATTAGCAACTCCAGATTTTTCAATTATGGGTAATCCCAGATCATAGTATTCACGACTCACGTCCAAAGCCAATACCTAATCGAATTAATCAATCATGATTTACACATTATTTCTTGCATATTTTTTACTTAAACAAAAAATTAAGTTTAATTGCAATTTTTACCTTTCCATCCGAGGGAAGAGCAAGAGCAGTGGCGAGAAGATAATAACCAGTGAATACACCAATTTCCAATGTGTTTTTTGCATTAATGAGCTTAATCAGCATGCTTAAAAATTGTCCTTCATCAGCAGGTGTAGCCATATGGTTCCTGTTTTACCATATCACTAGTATATTATTAATATTAATTATAGTTAGATACAGAATATAAAATTACAAAATATTTCAGTAGATTCATTATTTACTACAAATATTTAGTACCAATTTATATTTTAAATATAATCTTAATCATTAAGTGAGCTACTATCATTTAACACTACACTTTGTTCTATTAGAATTAAAATCAAAACTCATCTCAAATCGGTTGGATACAGCACTAATCTTTATAATTCACTTTTGTTTTATTAATAAACATTTACCTTTTTTTTTTTTTAATAATATCCACTCACTTTAAACAAAAGAAAAATCAAGATTCCCCAACATTAAGTATATTTTGAAATACACCAAAAGTTGTTTTTTTCCTTCATATTTTGGAGAAACAAACAACTACGTTCTTACCGAGGATGTTTTGCTGTTATTTCACGAAGCTCCTTCAGACATGGGTGCTCTCTCGGATAAACACTGGTTTCAAGTATATACTGCAAAACACAAGTAAAAATCCTAAACAATATATTCACATAAATAAAAACAAATAATTGAAAATTTCAATTACAAAAAACATGAAATTAAATTAGATAATTGTGGAGAATGAATACCTGATAAAGTGCATCACTTTGAAGGAGACTCTTGTGAGCGAGTTGATTGTGTCCGATGGGTTTGGTTTGCTCTTTCTCATCATTATTCACAGCCATCTCTTTGTGGAGCAGATAAGAAAAGTTCTCTCAATGATGAAGAATAAAAGCTCCAAAATGGTGTTTAATTTATAGAGGTGATTGTAGGGGTAGTGGTGTCTCGTAAACAATATCCTTTCATTTTGATATTGATAAGAATATAATCTAATTTTATATATTTTAAGACATCTCCTAATACAGCTAGAAAGGTAGGGTAAGAAGTAACATGTAGATAGGTTCCTTTCCACTAACTCTCTAATAATAATATTAGCTTTGTTATTTATGAACATGGATTTGGTGAAGTCTACTATTTATGGCAATTCAAGTGTTGTCTTATTAGTTCCTCGAAACGTTAAAATTAGGGGTGACAAAATGTAATTTTTTTTTTTTAAAATCTTGTGATTCATATTATTTAAAATCAATTGAGTTTTTATATGATTTGAAAGTTATTAGTTGGAATAAATAGAATAATTAGTGAACTCAAATTTATTTAATTAATATTATTTGAAATTGATCTTTTATTAATTGAGACATTTTGATAACACTAATAATCGGTCAATTGATTAGTAGAACAAATAAGTGAGTTGGTAACACTTTGAAATCTTTTCTACTACTTATATTCAGTTATATTCAGACAATGTATCAGTAAAAGAATTATGTCCACAAGTTTCTTCATGACATCTCTCGACCACGTGTTCATATACTACCTCCTACCAACCAACTGCCACTTCATTTCTTTTGTATCAAAAAAAAAAGGAAAGAAAGATAGAGGCTTGAAGAAAAAGAAGAAGAACAAGCTCGTGAAAGAAGAGGAAGGAGAGAAACTTTGAATCACTTCACCTCATCATCTTTCAACAACAATCTTCTTCATTTTTTTAAGATGGATTTTAGTGACACTTTATGATTTCTAGAAATTAGGTTTTTTTAATCATAGAATAGTTAAAGAATCTATGACAATGTGATGAATGTTCTTCCCTTGATTATGATGATTGTTATGAACGATTGTTTTGCCATATTTTTCATGATTATTATGACTCAATGTTGAATATGGTTGTTGTTGTGAGTATGCATTCTTGTTGTTCAATAGTTGTTAAAAATGAAACAAACATTTGTGCAGATGTAAGACTGGTTTGAGATAGGAACAATGCATGAAAAATGGAGTTTCTATGTGAAAAATAATGATATAGGTCGAGGCGTACGAGTTTAGGTCGACCTATAGAATTTTTCCTCCAGTACAGGCCGATACATAACTTTTTATGTCAACTTCCACGCATCAATATTGAAGTCTGTAACTTTTGTTTCATGTGTCACCTATTATAGGCCGACCTAAGACTTTCATATGCCAACCTAAGACCTGCATAGGGCAAACTAAGACTTTTATAGGTCGACACATAGCTTGCTTAGGTCGACTTATAACTTGATTCCTTGGAACAAAAATTCTTGATTCTTGATTTCCCCATAACTCGAGAACCGTAACTCAGAATGAAACACGACTGAAAGCGTTGGAAAGGTATTCCAATGTTCTAATTGATAGTAGGATAGGAAAATGATGTTATGACATTAAGTGATAGGATAATGATGATTTGGTTGAGAATGTTTATGAATCATAGTGTGTTATGTGTTTATATATGACATTATGATATGAATACATTGAATTGGGAAGTATATATATGTTTTTATATGTTGTATTGAATGAGAAATAACTTGTTTAAAACCTTATGAAGATGAGTGAGAAAATATAATTTTATAACTAGGTAAATAGAATAGAAAGATAACTTATGTTACAAATCTGACTTAGATAACATTAGATGGCCATGTTTATTCTATATGATATCTAGGCAAGTGTCATGGATGAATGGTTTCCATAGTCGATAGTGATATGCTTTGTATGGAACATGTGTTGTTTTTGTATGATGAAGGTGAATGTGATCACCTTGTAATTTTCGAATATAATCATGTTGTGTTATACATAGTCACGTACTCGAAACCAACCCTCGTGTTTATGTCGTTTCAAGTCATGATACTTATGTAGAGTAAGATTGAGATGAATGCAACGATACTTTGCATCAACCAAATGGATTAGATTCCCATGTGTTCAACCAAATGGGTTAGATTCCCATATGTGCAACCAAATGGATTAGATTTCCATATATTCAACTAAATAGGTTAAAGTTTCATAGAAGAATTGGAAGTGCTCAAGAAATTCAAAGTATGATACAAGGATTTGTGACCTGTGTCAAGAATTCTAGACGTAGGGTTGGTTGGAGAAAGATACCTTAATATGGTTTCGATTGGTACTTGTTGGAGTTGATGAACTCATGAGGCATATTTCCATACAATGTGAGTTTTGTGAACATAAATCTTTCCTCCTTGTGACTTGAGTTAGGTTTGATTAGAATCTTGTAGAGTCGAGTGGACCCATACGATAGGGACCCCACTGAGATTATCATCTCACTCCATATTTGTTAATTATTTTTAGGAAGTTCGGAGCAGTCGAAGGGTAAGAGCAAGTTGACCTGATATCCTTACTTGTCTAGTATTTTGGATGGCTTTCAAATGTGCTTATGTCTATTTTGAGATTATTATATCATGATCTAGTTTCTAGTTTATTTTTTAGGCACCCTTGTGCATATTTTGTGCCATTGTGTAGTTCTTTTGGGCATGTAATATGTATAATATTGCCACTAGACACTTATGTATTTCGGTACCAACATTACAACTATGTATAATATGTATTTCTAGACATGTATTATATATGGGTGTTATAGTTTAGGCCTATATCACAAAAGCCCGCAAAAAATGGGAAAAACAAGGTGGATATAATTGAGGGTGTGGGTCTAAAACCCTAACCCACCCCATATTAAAGTGTGTGCGGGATAGGGAGGCCCTGCAGACACTGCTTTTTTTAAGCTTAAAAATGCATAAAATTATGTTAATGTTAGTGTCCGCAAAAGTCCAAACAAATGGGGCTGGACGGGACTGACACATTAGAGGGTGAGAGACTAAACTCTTAATTCGTCCCATATTAAAGTGCGAGCAAAACGGACATATCAAACAGGCTTAACCCGATTTTCCACGTGCAGTTAAAATTATATATTTTTAAAGGTATTAATATAAAGGGAAATTTTATCAACTCATTGTAAGCAAAATGAATATTTTAAATCTAATATTTTGTATTATTTTTTTATATGTTTTTTTAATATTTTAAATTTGAATGTTTTTGGATGCACTTTTGTTAGAATTAAGTTATTTTAGTTGTAATTGTTGTTTATTGGTAGTCATAAGTTAGTTAGTTTGTAAGTTAAAATTTTTTAATTGGTAACAATCTTTATATAAAGCGTATATATTCATTGTAATAGACATTTTACGATTGAATCAATACAAAACATTTCAATTATCTCTTATTTTATTTTTCTTTCTTGGGCTCAATCATTCTTCTCAACATGGTACCAGCATATTCAAGATTCATTAGATTATATGCTATTAAGTTTCTGCTATTCAACCATCAATTATTTATATGCATACTCCAGATGTGTAGCCCTCGGCGCGAGGGGTGTGTCATGGATGAATTAAGTCAAAATTCTAATTCTAATATGTTATTTGAACCTACCGATTTGAGCGACTAATCATTTTTATATGCACATTAAACTCAATTGTGTTGGGTGCAAAATGGTGGATCGAAAAAACCAAATTTCACATATTGAAAATTTAGTCCACCTACGTTTATATCCACACATCAAGTCGAATAGTGATGGGCAAGAGGGGTGCATTGGAAGAAAACCAAGTGCCACATTTCTTAAAATTTATATGCTAAAAAGGTTTATATAGAGTGACACATGTCACCTTACAAGTCAATATTGTATGAATGAGTTAAGTCAAACTTTTATTCTAACACCACTTTAGAGCCAGGTTGTTGTTGGGTGAGAATATGGAGTAGAAAAACATTCTAAAAGGGGTGAATATACCCTTTAAAAAAAGGTTCAGCTGATTTTCCAAAAATAAAATATTAGAGGTTTTTAAAATTATGCAGGAAAGTGTTAAAACGAACATGGAGATATATACTTTTATTGGATTTCAATCACGTCGATAGATGCACGATTCAAAAAATCCACAGATTATTCAACAATGAATAATTGAATGATTGTATATTACATGAGATATGTCTTATGTGATTATGATCAAATTCTAACATCACTAGTTTTCCAGAATTTAATCACCACTAAAGTTCAATTAGGTACTAATTCTAACATAATCTAACCTTACGTAATAAATTGCTACCAATTAAATAAACGATAAGCTACGCTAAGAATTAAAAACCAAAGCATGCAAATATCCTACAAAAATTAAATGCAAGAATGTGTGTGTGTGTGTGTGTGTGTGTGTGTGTGTGTGTGTGAAAGATAGATAGATAGAGAGATAGAGAGATAGAGAGATAGATAGATAGATAGATAGATAGATAGATAGATAGATAGATAGATAGATAGATAGATAGATAGAGAGAGAGAGAGAGAGAGAGAGAGAGAGAGAGAGAGAGAGAGAGAGAGAGAGAGAGAGAGAGAGAGAGAGAGAGAGAGAGAGAGAGAGAGAGAGAGAGAGAGAGAGAGAGAGAGAGAGAGACTCACCAAGATGTGTAGTGGTTCGACGTTCGTCCTCGCTTTGTCTACTCTACTCTTTAATGGCTTCCCATTAGAACATCCTTTGTTCACAGAAGAGTTCATACAATCACTAATTCAAAACAATGTTAAGAAAAGTAAATATCTTATTTGGATCTTGACTTGTATACAACCTAATGTTAAACTCTTCTACTTAATCTTTACTCGATTCACACTTCTTGAATCTTCCAGATCCACAAGTCTGCTCACTTTCTTCATGTGTAGCAATAAGCCATTGATCCCAATTATTTATTGAGCGGTGAACTATATGAAGATTTGAGAAGAACTCCCCCTTGTTTGTAACCTTCCACACAGTAACTACCAAGGTAATATGGAGAGAATAGCCTCCTTTGTTCATTAGAATTTTTC